AGAATGGGGATAGTGGGCATCCTTGACGGACACCACTTGATGAGTATAGCTCCCTGGACAACTCACCATAGGCTCTAACATGCCCACAAGTGTTCGAGTAGAGAGCTTTCAATAAGGTGATGTACTTACTAGGCACGCCTTTCAGTGACAGACACTGCCATAAGACTTCTCGATCAACGGAGTCAAATGCCGCCTTCAGGTCGAGAAATACAGCTATTGTCGGGCGTCTGTAAGCATGCCTATGTTCCAGGACCTGGCGCAGTGTGAATATTTGGTCGATACATCCACGGCCAGGTCTAAAGCCTGCCTGGTTTTCTCGGGCTTGCTGTTCCCGAGCTCCACTCAGGCGTCGGAGAATTATAGAACTTAGGATCTTAGACACTATGTTTGTCAGGCTGATTCCTCTGTGGTTATCACAAGAGGACTTCTCGCCTTTCTTGAAGACTGGGATGATCAGTGACTTAGACCAGTCGGAGGGGATCGTATTTGATTCCCATATACTGGCTAACACTTCCGTTAGCCTGACTAAGAGAACTCTACCACCATTCTTGTATACCTCAGCAGGTAGTCCGTCTGGTCCTGCTGCCCTTCCCCGTTTCAGGCTACCTACCGCTTTCTCAACTTCTTCTAGTGTTGGGGGACCTGTCTCTATGTCCCATTCAGGGTCCGACTGGATAGCGGGCAGCGCAATGGTGGCTGGAGGCCAGTTAAACTGTTCCTCAAAGTGTTCTGCCCATCGTCCCAGTCGCCTTCCCTGCGAGTGAATCGCCGATCCGTCCTTCTCCGCTATAACCTCACTAACTGTTGTTGACCATTTCCCCCCAGTCTCCTTAATAAGTCTAAATAACTGTCTACTGTTACCGATCGCCGCTGCCTTTTCCATCTCTTTAGCCTTTGCTGCCCACCACTGTTCACGATCGTTGCGCAGACTTTTCGTCAGTTTATTTTTAAGTTGCGCTCGCTCTTCATTGTACTCAGAGCCTGCAGGGATGCATTCACGTGCATCCATTAGTTTGGAAGAAGCTGCTGATATCCACTGGCTCTTTTTAGCCATTATCTTGGAGTCGGCTACAGTCTCCAGTGCTGCTTTTACAGTAGACTGAAGATGGCACCAAGCTTCTTCTGGATGAGTGACAGTCTTTTGTTCCGATAACTGCCTAGCCAACTTCTCACTGAACACGGCTTTGGTGTTTTCGTTGTCCAGCAGAACTCGTAGTGGTTTTGTTGCCAAATTTTTTCTACGTCCATTGAGACGCAGGCATATACGTGCTCGGACCAACGCATGATCGCTGTCCAAACACGTACTCCAGAAGGAGCGGCAGTCTTCCACCGATCCTCTCCAGCGATGACTAATAGCAATGTGGTCTATCTGTGTCCATCGCTGAGTCGAGCTCGGTGGACGCCAGGTCAGACAGTGCCTTTCTTTATGTCTGAAATTTGTGCTGGCTAAAAATAGGCGGTTATCTGAGCATAGTTGTAATAGGCGATCACCGTTATCTGTACGTTCAGCTGGGATTCCGAAAGTGCCACCTAAGTGCCTTTCTGCCTCACTCAGTCTACCCACCTGTGCGTTGAGGTCACCTGCAACAACCACTACGTCCGAACGTTTGGCTTTCGAGAGGAGGTTAGACAGTTTATGGTAGAACTCGTCCTTCACTTCATCCGAACTACAGTCAGTGGGTGCGTAAGCAGAGATTACAAAGAGACAACGGCGAGTCTCACTATTCCTTTTAGTTCTCACTGTGCCGTTCAGCCTCATAGCGCAGAGGCGACTATCAACTGGGATCCAGTCTAGTAGTGAGTTTTCTGCCCTGGTGCTTAATGCTATACCTACACCTGCAAGACCACGAGAGCTAGCTATCGAATCTCCAGAAACTCGAAGGGTGAATTTTGCAGATTCACCAGATTGGTCAGGAGAGGTCAGGTGAATAACCACACTTGGGTCCTGTATGCGTGTCTCACAAACACAGCACACATCCATGCCTCGAGTTGCTAGAGTCTTTGCCAACGAAGCCTGTTGGCCAATTTGACGGAGGGTGCGGACATTGAAGGCTCCAATATGTAATTTGGAGCGTGGTTTAAGGAGACCAGGGACGCTGTTCTGTGGACTCAGATCGTTGTCGAAGGCTGCAGAGGTAGGAGAAATTGAAGATGATGCAGCATCATTAATTAAGAGACGTGAAGGAAGATTAGAAGGTAATGATGGAGGAGGAGGATAGCAGTCAGAAGAAACTTGGGTGCTGACAGAGTTGTGAGGGCGGTTGACACTTCCCGGCTGCCCACACCGTGGAAGGCTATTTCTTCTTAAGGTACCTGAAAGAGATTTGTGTGACCGCAGAGCCCATCGGACATCTGCTTGAGGCCTGTCACACCCAGCCTTTTGAGTATGATTATTTTGAATTTTTGTATTTTTGGGGCCGGATGAGCGAAAGGAAACGACAAGTGAACCAACACCGCCGGCCCGGCAGACCGTGGGGCGTGGTGGAGTGTGTTATTTTTGGGGCCGACCTTTTCTAACCCCCCCTTCCACTGAGAAGGCAGCATCAGCTTGGCACTGCTGGTCATCCAAGGGAAACACCTTACTGCTGTCACACCCCATCCAGCTAGCAGCAGTACGACTTCGCCCTCAGACCCCCATCATAGTATAGCAATTTACACTATGACGGTAACTGCTTTTCGTCTAACCACTACCCAACAGACCTTTCTGGTATGGTAGGACCTCGAGGGAACAAGCGTTCCACCAGCATAGCTCGTTGGGTCATTGTGATATGCAAGCCCGACCACCACGTCAAGGTAGCAGCTATCGGTCGGGAAAAAAAAAAGCTTCACTAGCCAAAACTTTAGCAACTCGGGCTGTAGATGTATGTTGTGAGACACGGATACCAGATCCAAGGGCGGTTATTCACTTAACCTCCCCTGGTCAATATGGCGAATCTCCAAAATTCACCCTGTCAATGGCCGGTTTTCGTGGTCTTGCAAGTTAGGTATAGCACTGAGCACTAGAGTAGAAAGCTCACTACTAGACGGGATCCCAGTTTACAGTCGCTTTCGTGCTGTTTGACCGGACAGCATAATGAAAACTAAACAAAGTGAAACTCGACATTTTCTTTGTAATCTCTGCCTATGCACCCACTGACTGAAGTTCGAATGAAGTAGAAGCTGAGTTCTACGAAAAACTGTTTAGCCTCCTACTGAAAGCTAAGCGCTCACTTGTAGTTATTGCAAGTAATTTCAATATATAAGCGAATAGGGTAATTCAAACAGGAATTGATTTAGGTGTTACTTTTGGAATCTCGGCTGAACGAACAGACAACTTTGCTCAGATAACCGTTTATTTTTAGTCAGCACAAACTTTAGACATAAAGAGACATTGTGTGACGTGACGTCTAACTAGCTCAACTCAGTGGTGGGCATAGGTAGTCCATATTCCTATAACTCGTCGGTGGAATGTCACTCCTTCTGGGCCACGTGTTTCGACAGCGACCACCCGTTGGTTCGACCCAGGTGTCTGTTTAAATGGATGTATGAAAACTATGACAACAAGACTACTGCGAGTGCAGCTCGACAATGAGGTCAATAAGACTGCTTCAAGTGAGAAACCGACTGGGCAGTTATCGGAATAGAACATAACTTATCAAAAAGAACTCTTGAGGAATTTCAAGTCTTTTGAAAAAAAACAGCGTAAAAGGTCGCAGGTGGCTGTTTGAAAGCGGTAGAAAAGAGTTAATGGGCATCAGAAAGTTTTTCTAAACCAATCGATGCATGCGACAGCATTTTGGCAAGCTCGAAGTACAGTGAGAAACGAATGCAACTCAAATACAGAATCACAAAAGTCTACCAATGACCGCAAACATTGAAGGCTTAAAAGATGAAAAGGGTGACGAACATAGGTGAAACATGTTTCCACTTATTATACGATTGTAAAAAGATTAACGGTTATAGACGTATCCGTGCAGAAAATTTGCCTGCCACTGAACTATCAGAGTTGGTCCAACTTCCCAGGCAAGTAAAATGTTCAACGTACTCAACCACTACACTCTATTGTTAGCCGAAGTACCGCTGAAGACTAATTCTGGAGCAACAATTTGCATTTGGGTGGTGAAAAATGCATCCAAAACATTCTCAAATTGCCACTCGTAGACGCACACGAGGATAAACAGGCGGTTTTCATTCCATATTTTGTTAGTCGCTTACCCCACCACCCTCCATCTTCCTAATAATTTTCTGGGAATTCTGGTTATTTATCCCGGCCTTTTAAGCTTACATCCTACTCTTTTATCATGATGCACTGACATGCGTAACGCAGGGTGTTAGGCAGTACTGACAAGTCCCATATCAGTACTAATTGGTTGGCAAATCGTCGGAACCGTATTTTATCCGTAGCTGCGTGCATTCTAATTCCTTATTTACAAAGCCCTTGAATTCAAATATATTTAAGTACTCCTACCTATAACAATAACAATCTTCAGCCTTATCGACGAACAACAAAATCGAAATGTACCCAGGAACCATATGCATGTCCGTGGAGTAGGTGATCACTCAAACTCATTGTCTGAGGGCTAACAACACTAAGCAGCTGCTTACAAATCAGTAGGCGTAGCGAGGTTCGAATCTGTCAAACCCGGCTAAGCCAATGAGCCACAACTCTACTGTTGAATGTCAGCAAGAGACCTACTGACTGTAAGGAAGGCAAATACTTCCAACTGAAACTTTTTCCAGAAACGTATTTGTGGTTTATTGGTGCATTGCATCACCCCTAGAACTCACAATTTGGCAATTCTCGGTTCCTTTACAGTTAGGGGTTGGACAGTTGAGCGTAATTATTTAAGCCTACTGGTCCACTTTATCCAAGACATAAACCGAAGGTGAAGGTGGTAAATCCCAGTAGTCTACTTATTACATGGCACAACAACCTTCACTGACAAATGACTATCCTGTCAGTTCAGTCAATCAAAAAATGAATGCAAGGGTACACATTAAATAATCCTGACACTTCATACCCGAAAAGCAATGACATGTTTCATTCCCTGGAAGTTTCGAACATGACCATGTACTCGAACATATGACAACTCACGGAACGGACGGCATTGTAAGCCGGTAGATGTGTTGTCCTGATCGTCAGTAAAAAGCTTCACAGGTAAATAAGGACCTGTATAATCGTCAATTTCATACTCAACTCGCGTGCTTGATTCATTCACAGAACGGATTATACCCACCACTGTTATCTGCACGTTGTATACAGGAAAGACATTCTCAACATACTTGACTGAACTCGATTCCACAAGAAGAAATGGACTTATCACCATCCTGACTTGAATTCATGATTTCGGCACATGTGCAAGGAATTATGTTACCCTGATTACTTGTTTTCTGTAATACGATACAACTAAGTGATAACCAAAGATGAAAAAACCTTAAGTCCACTGTTGGAAGCAGATGATGCCATATATCCACCCCCAAAATCACCTGTACTTCCGATACTACCATAATCTAATTAGGACGTGAGAATTTCTATTCTATACTTACCACTTGCTGACCACATTATCGACGCAATCTGAAATCCCCACGCTTACACGAAATTTAATGTTCCCCCGGCTTCTGAGTTAGTGTCTAAACGCACGAGAAGGTCAAACAAGGAAGGCTTAAGTAACAAAGATTTAGGACAAAATAGTATATTATTCATTATGATTTACAGCGCACTGAAGATCCCACCTTATTCTAAGAAAATCAATGAGAGATACTGAAATTAAATGGCACTACGTTTGGTTTCACACTACGGGTATCCAGCATGTTACCATGTTAACTTAATGTGACGTGACTGACATTTAGTGGTCATTATTTCGTTCAGATGTATGTGAAATAAGTAAGTTTAAGCGTGATTTAGTGAATCTCTTCATTTGTTTGTAGTATTTTTAATCTAGAGTACCACATTTAGCTTGTATGGAAACATGCCAGATGCAGATTCCGGTAATTTCATGAGTTGACTACATGGTTCTAGAATTATATTCTTAGTCACTGGGGCTTCAGTCACCATGAAATTTAGTCTGAACATAACGTGTGTTTAGGAAATCACTTATCTACAACCTGGAGGCAATACTACGGTGTTTATGGTCGAAAAACAAGTGTCCACCATATCGTAACAGAGAACGCAGTTCAGTTGATAAACGGGGCGCGAGAATTTCTACCTATACCAACGCAACTATCTTCACAGCTCGGAACCACTTTTTACTGGTGATTCGTAGTCGTCTGGACCATTCAACTGCTGCAGCTTTTGGCTGTCTTCTGGAGTCATTCACCAAGAAATATCTCCCTTGGTCTGTAAATACGCACTCAGAGTATTCGGTTAAAGTTGTTGACAAAGTGAGAGAAACCAAGTACCAAGTTTCCGTCGGTAAGCCGTCTACTTTACGCTTTAATATCCTTTTTGTTTATATTATTTGTACGTTATACAACTTAACTATGATGGTACAAATAAATAGGGCGCATGCCCCAAATCGTATGACGAAGTGTGCAGGCGGACAGGATGTAGTCTGTGCAGAAAAGATGTGCGCGGTAATACCCCACCGTCTGGGATTCCTACGGAACTGTCACGCCAGACACAGCATTTATCAAAACCAGTAAAGTTAAGTAGTCGGGATGACAGTAATACGTCCCCAAACATACCTTTGGTAAAAAATAAAGCGGGAAAGAAACGCGCATGTCAACTAACAAATGCACCGACACACGTTACGCTCGTTTGGGACTGCACGAAAGGAAACAACGTCGTCCGTCCCATCCAACATGGCCTCAGAACCGGACGGTTGTGTGCCAAAAACTTAATGACCACTTGGGATGACTGGACCGCTAGATGGGGGGACAAGCAACCAGTCTACGTTGTACTCGTGGACCTGGCCAAAGCTTTTGATGTCGTCCCGTACTGCACCATGCTCGCTAAACTTGCAGAGGTGAGTGCCACTGGACCACTCTTAGCATGGTTTTTAGCATACCCAGAGGAAAGAGAATTCTGTGCTAAAGTAAGCAGAATTCAATCAACCTGGAGAAATACTAGGACAGGGGTTTCTCAAGGAGTGATCCCCGAGCCACTCCTCTTTTTACCATTCATAAATGACCTTCCCATTAAATCTCCTCAGCCATCCTCCTATTTGCCGACGACGTCAAAATATGGAGGACAATAGATGGTGAAGAGGATCCTAGGATGCTCCAAAACGACATATTGCAGCTGGAGTCCTAGTCAGCTAAAAACGGTTTAAGCCTTATCCTGGAGGAATGTGAAGTGATTTGTCTTCGCACACCAGCTACACTGTTAACAATCGTGCAATCGCCAACGTATCCAGAGGGAAGGACCTAGGACTAAACATTTTCGACGCACTGGACACTAATGGCAATTATAGGGAAATGGCAGCCAGGGTGACCATCATTATTCGCCTTCTAAGAAGGCGGCTTGGACTGGTAACCTCAGGATTATTCCCTATGGTATTTAAGACCTATGTTAGATCACACCTAGAGGAGTTCAACACGACAGCCCCTCTCCCACTACTAGAGAGGGATGCAAATGCCCTCAAGAAGGCTTAAAGCACGGCTACAAGGTCGGTTGATGGACTAACAGGCAGAACATATGTGCAACGCCTCAGACAACTCAACGTGTTCACAATAAGCTGTCGAGGGAAACGAGGTGACCTGATGACACCCTATAGGATCATCTACTAAGCAGACTGCCCAAATAGGTCAGCGTTATCGATCCGAAACCGACAAGCCCGGGGGAGCCCCACTCACATGCCCCACCGTAGAGGGAGAATGAGAATGAGATCTAACATCTCTCACAGTGTGTGTCTAAAACAGCGCTCTGCCGAAGGAAGAAGCCACAGCTACATCAGTCGACTTCTTTAAACGACTGCCGGATGAGTATGAGGGAACGAATGGCTTATCGCGAGCACTTGTTAGTACCAAGTGATGACGTGTCTTTCCATCCCTGTACCCCCCTACCCTAGTGTCCGCAAAAAGACGCATCCCTCCTCCATATTACTGCTTGTAACACTCATCTTTCCGTAAGTATTTTTAACTTCACTTTTTCTCATTCCCCACTCAACCTATTCCTAGCACTTTTTAAGTAACATTTAATACTTACTCGCAGATGCTCATAAAAACAGTAACCAAAACCGGTTAATTGATCTTATCAGCAACTGCCTTACCCCCAAAAAACAAACCAGGCTACAATTCGCAAATAAAACACCTTCAACTGGACAATCAATAACTCCAAAGCTATAGGCGGGAAGACGCGAAGATTTCTGCTACCATCGAGGGAGTACAACATAACAAAAAGAACTAAGCCTCAAGATCTAGAAGCGAGAGGTCAAAAATCACGAGTTCCCTTCACCGACCACTGATACTGGTTTTTGGATGTTGAGGAGAAGATTTTCCGATGCGTTTGCCATGCAAGTCTTATCTTCTTCAGCTAAAGGTCTGAACCTGGTTTTTGACCATTTATGCGTTCTTACTTCTTTGGAGGGGAAGAAATTCGGATATGCGGCACTTTGGTTGTCGCTCAAGGCACGGGATATGTACCTGACAGTTTTCAGTTGCCAGCAGGACAAAATGAATGGCCCCATTTTGAACGAATCACTCCTCGATGAAGGGGTCTGAAAGTCCTTTAACAGTGAGATGAGTTGAGGTTATTTTGAGCCTAAGTAGCTATCTCAATGGGGAAATTTCTCTTAGGTGCTAGTCCCTAAGCTTCCGCCTTGTTTTCTTTTTGTCTCGCAGTTCAACTTTGCTAGCTCACCTTCATCACTTTCTAAGTCACTGGTAAATTGGGTTGCATTCACCACTGAATACATGTGTGTCAAGAATTTGGTCTGTTCCAATTTCAGTACCGTAAGTGTATCGCCCAGAGGTCCAAAACCTATCGGTGGAGTGGGACCAAATGTTTGAGGCCTGAAAGCTGCAGATACTGGGCGTACTTGTGATCCAAAGCAGACCTGCATCGTACAGTTCAGCTTTCCTAAAAACTTAGTCTTGGTTTTCGATTTTCATGTTTCTGCAGGTGAATTATTCCATAGGTGGATATATTTGATCAAAGGTTGTTTCTTAACTTATGGGCAGTTTTGCTTGTGAATCACATGCCTGTGAATATCTAATAGGTCAGCCAGTTAAGAAGCTCATAAAACAGTATTAGGTTCAGTCTGAGCTTTCGTCTCCCGGGCGGACCTACGATCTGGTGGCATACTTTACGTCGTCATTCAGGTTAGGTGCCCTCACTGTAAAATGTTTCAGCAGTCCTTCGACATTCAGTTTATTTTTAATCCATATGCGGCTGTAGATAAGTAAGGAATATTAGAGAAGTGGTTGGACACATATTAAGCACAGGATAACTATAGGTTTGCTCTTGAGGAAATTTTTCCATAGGGGACCTTGGGGTGAAAAACCCCCAGGAAACGTTTGCTGCAACCACGATAAATGAGTGAAGAACCTCTTGACTATATGAAGGAAGTTTTAAAGTCATGTGGTTATTCAAATGAATATGAGCGATAAATTCTGCTCCAAACAAAATCCAGCAAATCATACTTTATCGCCATGTGCCGTGTTGAGTAAACAATGTAATATGTAAAAAAGACTGCAACATGCCCCAACACACAGAACATGAGCTGGGTCATAAACTAACTGAGCGCCTCACGTGGAACGGATACGGGGTGTCACGCAAAGTCTGACACGTTGCGCCATACCAAACTGAATACCCTCCATGATGTAACCTCTTCCCTTTACTTCCCAACTGACCTTTCGACTTAGCACCTGTTCCACGCCAGATCACGGCAAACAGACCTTCTAATGGTCACTTTATGTGAGGAAATTGTAACTACTCCCCCAGCCTTCATATTAGCATAACTGCAATTTAACTCTAGACGTCTGTTGCTTAGCGAAAACTCTACAACTTTCACTTTATAACGCTAGCGTGACCGCGTGGTGACCACATGCTTGTTCAAAGTGGAACTGAGTTAGCGAAGAGAACAGAGGTTTCCCTATACCAGGAAGGACGACGGTAGGACGTGGCACTGTTACCTTGGGGGCAGGCTGAATGAAAACATTCGGGAAATCAACTTCGTACCCTTAAATAACCCTGGCGCCTTTTGACGCAGGATCTGAAAAATGCAAATGTCTGAAATATAGCTCGAGCTCAGACATGAAGAACGTACCATGCAATATGCCAAAGCAATTCTGTAAATACACTCTTCAAGCCATTTTTGAGTCTTGCATCTGTTTACCATTTGATTTCGTATTTCTTCATTTTCGACCTAATTTAAGCATTCTGCATTTTCTTGCCAAACCACATTAAAAATCTGAGCCCGTCTCATGAAAACTGAGTGCAAGTATTGGACAAAAGGTTTGTAATATGCCGCAGGCATCTAGTATGCGTCACATTTATGCACACTAAATGCTGAGGAATATTATTATCCAATCTAATGGAAAGGTTTCCCACTAAATAAATTGAAGTATTCGAACGTTTTTCTCCATATTGCAGTTGCTGCCGAGACTGTCTGTCCTCCTCTTGTACATCCCTATGAATTTTTAGTAAATTCTGGGTTATTGCTACTAGGTAGTAGTGTCCCTTCACTAGTTTTAT